ACTAAGCGCTCCTGATGTGGTGCTGTAAGATAAGCATTGGACCGCTAACCACAAGGTTAGTGATTCAAATCCACCAAGCTGCTCCTTGAAAACCCTATACAGAGTCACTGTTAGTCATAATGAACTCAGCAGCACATAACAATAAGCAACAACAACTAACGCATTGGACAACAACTAAAAGCAAGACTAAAGCATTGGACACATGTTAATAAAGCTTAATAATGCTATTATTAAGTCCTTCGGAATCCTGGAGTGGTGCTGCAGGATAGATAATGCACTGAACCATAAGGTCGGTTTGAACCACAAGGTTGGCAGTTCAAATTCACCAGCCACTCCTCAGAAACCCAACAGGGTTGGATGTGCATCAGAACCAACCCTACAGCACTTAACAACAGCAACAAATGTCCTTTATCCGCTAAAGAAGGGTAAAATTAAATGGGCTGATCCTAACCAGAGAAGCAGCAACACCAGAGATGGAGGCAGCGGTGATGGCATGGAGAGATAGAGCAGCTGAGGACTCTAGACTCATGGAAAGAGAAACGCTGTTAGCTGGTGGGCAGGAGACGGGCTTGAAAAATGTGCCCCTTGCTTGTTTAAATGAATATATATTCCTGTGTATTTTGTGTACACCAAAAATAGAGGGAATAGAGGCAAATACTGTTAACCGATGGTGCTCGGAGGGATTGTAATCATTGCAGTGAAACAAAATATGATTAGTTGAATGTAAAACTGATGTTCTGCCATGTAAACTATCATTCAGGTCACAATAAAAGCTTAAAAAAAATTTTTAATGGGCTTATACCAGACAGTGGTTTCATGGTTAAAATTAACACCCATCAGTAAATTTCCCTACTTCACTTTTTGCCAAAATTAAATTTTTTTTTAAATATATGCAAAGAATTTTGTTAAAATAATAGCTTCTGAAGTATTTCAATGAGTTCAAAGTTACATCTTTATGTGGTAGGTTCAGTGGTAGAGTATTGTCATGGGATTATGTTCTCATTCAAAAACAGGGAGCACAGTGGCTCCATACCATAAGTACTGGACTGCGAACCACAAGGTCCACGGTTCGAGTCTCCACAGGAGATAGATGAGGCTTTCTGCTCCTGCAAAGATTGAAAAAGCCTTGATAGGGTCACTATAAGTTGGAACCGACTAGAAGGCCCTTAACAACAGCATTCAAAAATCAGAAATATATAAGAGGCAGCTAGCTCTTCTTGGCCCTGATTTCTGCAGAGTAGAAAGTCTATCCACAGCACTTTGTTACCCTTACCACTTCAGACTATGAGGAAGGAAGGGTACCTGGGTGTGAATGCCACAGAGATCTTCCTCACTTAAATTTCCATCTCTTTCTTTGTCCTCCCAGATGTACTCCTAAGAAGATAAGAAATATCATTTACATGTTCTTACCCATAACTAAGTGGTTGCCTGCATATAAATTCAAGGAGTATGTGTTGGGTGACTTGGTCTCAGGCATCAGCACAGGGGTGCTCCAGCTTCCCCAAGGTTAGTAGAATGTATTTAGTTCTTTTCTTTTCTTGCTGTCTTTTCCTCAATTTGCTTTGATTTTTTTTCTGCTTCATCATGACTGCAAATTCTTAGTTTTTATTTTTAAAAAAATAATAGTTTTGATATAGCATTCTAGTGCTTTAGCTATCTAAACAAATTGTTTGGAAGCATTTAACCCTTACAAGGTCCTAGGAATATTAGTAGTAAATTATGGTGGTACCAGTCTGTACATCGGTACGCATAGATACTAGTTGGAATTGTCTTAACTAATTGCTAACTCAATCAGTCACCCTATTAACATTTTGTTGCGGCTGTTGCTGAAGTTCTTGGCTTCTAAGTCTATGTTCTAATGAGACGACCCCATGATATACGAGATTCCCAGGCAGCTCTGTGATTTACATATGACCTAAGAATTTAAGAGGTTGTCCATTAATGTATTCAGGGAGGTCCACAGGGCCTTGTTAGGCCTCTTTGGGATTTCATTCTGAATTCATTCTCTGTTTTCAATTCTGTTTGTTTTTCATCCCACAGGTTTAGCCTTCGCAACGTTGGCCGCTGTGCCTCCAGTGTTTGGCTTATATTCTTCATTTTACCCTGTTATCATGTATTGTTTCCTTGGAACCTCCAGACACGTATCCATAGGTAAAAGCCTGTGCTTGGCATTTGAGTACCTATCCCCAAGTTTCTCAGTGTGCCAAAGAAATCTATCTCATGGTCATTATTGTAACATCTGCTTAAGAATAGCTTTTGTTGCTACATACACAAAGGTGTTTTGTTTTGTTTTTTAAATACCCCCCAACACACACACATACAAGATTATTTTGTCTTGGAAGAATCAAAAGAAACAATTTTCTTGTATACAAAGAACAATTGTCAAAATCTGTGAAATGAGATAAATGTTTCGTTTCATAACACAATTTGCAGGCATCTTGTTTTTATTTATTTCAATAGTGGATTGTTTTTATTTACTTCAATACTGCAAGTTCCTAGTTACCATGTATGCTTTTAAATTTGTATCAGATTTTAGGTTCTGAGTTGTATGCATTATCTCATTAGTGTATTTAGGATCAGATACATAGAGATTTTGGAATAGTGTTGACACTGAGTGAGGCTCCCACCTCACTTGCAATTCGTTCTATTATTGTTGTTAGGTGCCATGGAGTTGGTACTGACTCAGAGTGACCTTATGCACAACAGAACAAAACATTGCCCAGTCCTGGGCCAACCTCACAATTGTTGGTACAGCTGACCCCATCACTGCTGCCACTGTGCCAATCCATCTCATTGGAGGTCTTCCTCTTTTTCTCTGACCCAACGTTTTATTGATGGATAATAAATACCCCCAAGTGTAGCAGCTTAAAACATCACTTTACTATCTGTCTTGGTTCTTGTGGGTCAGGAATTTGGGGAGAGCTTGTCTGCGGTGTTCTGGTTCAGGGTTTTTGATGTAGTGAGAGTACAGTGGTAGCTGGAGTTCCTCCTTCTCCTCTCCTTTCTTCCTTACTTCCTCCAGGCTTCCCTCCTTTCCTCTCTTCCACCACGTGATCCCAGGCCTCCTCCTAGCCCAGCACAAGGATTAAAACTCTCAACACTGAAGCTGTATCACCTTTTATTACCTAGCCTTAGGAGTTTCATAGTATCACTTTGACTGCATTTTTTGGTTACTAGCAAATCACAAGCTCACCCAATCACAAGGAGAGAAGAATTAATTTCCGCTTTAGATGATGAAGTATCAAAGTTCCAGAAGAATATGTCAAAGGGAAATATCGGTGTAGTCATTTTTGGAAAATAAAATCAACTACATGCAACTTACACAGTCACCAGGAGCAGGCTGTAGGGTAGATTGGATTTCAGAAGCAGTGAAATTTTATTTCAACAGTAGTTTTTTGATCTCACCTGTGTCTCTGGCAGAGTGGCAACAACCACATTAGATCCACTAAACATCTCCTTGGATTCCTGGGCAGAGATCATTAATGCTTCATTTTTTTCAGGCCCTTTTGCTGTTATCAGCCTGATGATTGGCGGTGTGGCTGTCCGCTTAGTACCGGATGATATAGTAATTCCAGGAGGGGTCAATGCAACCAATGGCACAGAAGCCAGAGACGCCTTGAGAGTGAAAGTTGCCATGTCTGTGACGTTACTTTCAGGAATCATTCAGGTAAAACTCAAAGAAGGGGAAATGGACTTTTGTTTGTTTTGTTGTTGTTGTTGTTGTTATGTGCGGTGGAGTCGGTTCCGACTCATAGCGACCCTGTACAGGGTTTCCGAGGCTGTAAATCTTTACGGGAGCAGAAAGCCTCATCTTTCTCCCGCAGAATAGCTGGTAGTTTCGAACTGCTGACCTTGTGATTCGCAGCCCGATTCGTAACCACTACGCTACCAGAGCTCCTTATTTGTTTACGTAATACATATCTTCTGAGCACTCTCGGTTAGTCTTACTACATGGTGGCAGAGTTGTTGGTAAGTGCTTTCAGGTCAGTTCTGACTCATGACAACCCTGTACAGGGTTTCTGAAGAGTGGCTGGTGGGTTTGAACCACCGACCTTGCAGTCCAGTGTATAGGGTTAGCCAGCAAAAATTCAGAGCTCATGGTTCATAGAATTAATTCTAAGTGTGCCGGTATACCCTGTCAACCACTGGTATTTATGAGCCGCTAGTAAGCTTTGAATTCCTGATGATGCAGTGACTAAGTATTCAACTGGTAGCCAAAAGATCAATGGTCTGAACCCACTAGCTGCTTCACAGGAGAAAGGTGTGGCAATCTGCTTCCATTAAAATTACCGTCTGGAAACCCCGATGGGACTGTTCTACCCCATCCTATTGCTGTTAAGTGCCCACAAGTTGGTATGACTCATCGTGACTCGGTATAGGGTTTCCAGGGAGTCGCTGTTAGGTTTGAACCACTGACTTCTTGATTAGCAGTCCAGTGCTTATCCTACGCCCTACACCAGAATCTCTGTTTTATAGGGTTGCTGTAGTTAGAGTAAACTCCATGGTGATGGGTGGCAGAGGAAAGCAAACTTTTAAGGAACCCTGGTAGTGTATTGATTAAGCACTTGGTTGGTAACCAAAAGGTCTGCATTTCAAACCCATCAGCAGCTCCCTAGGTGATGTGCTCCCCCTGTAATGATTACAGTCTAGGAAACAGTATAGAGAAGTGCTCCTTTGTCCTTTGGGTTCATTATGCATTGGGATCAACTCACTAGCACTCATCAACAACACCACCCGCAGTAACTTTGATTAGGTACATTAGAGCTCCCAAAAGTGAGGCAAGCTTGAAGCAGTAAAGTGGGTAATACTGGGAAAAGGGCTTCTTTTATCTTCTTGGAAGGAGCAGCAAGTGATGTTGCATCGCAGTGTCTATGAGTAAGCACGTCCCCAGTTCCAGAAGATAAGTCAAGGTCCCAGTGCTGACCAGTGCTTCATGAAACTCTAAAACCTCCATGGTTTTCTGTATGACTAGTGATTTATTTGTTACTTAAGTGCTGCAGATAGCATTAGAAAAAGGTCCAGAAAGAATCTATGTGTGTTTTCTATGAATTGTAACTTCCTGATCTATCATGTGATTTATTTGTTTCTTTGTCATTAAAAAAATAGTTTTGCCTAGGAGTCTGCAGGTTCGGATTTGTAGCCATATATCTCACAGAACCCTTGGTCCGGGGGTTTACCACTGCAGCAGCTGTGCATGTCTTCACTTCCATGTTAAAATACCTGTTTGGAGTTAAAACAAAGCGGTACAGTGGGATCTTTTCAGTGGTATATGTAAGTAAGCAACTTTCTGATGTATTGGTCCTTGTTTCTCCTTCACCTCTTACCCCTTCTCATCTGTATCTGCTTTCTCTTCAAGGTTCATTTACCCCTATACAATTTGTGTTCAAAGAAAGTAACTCTAGGTCTTTTGAGAGAATGCTACAAGAATAATTTAGCCTTAAACCCCTGTTTATTAATATGTGATACTGCTTATATCACCAGAAATTCTTAGTAAGTCTTTATCTGGTGACTATATGTTTACCCTAATTAACTGAAGAGAAATCTTTTGCTTAGACCAAATTATTTTCTCCTTGGGAACAAAACAAATAATTTTAAAGGTATAGTTTGGTAATCTTTCTCTCTCTTTCTCTCGAAAACTGCTAACTTAAGCAGACAAAAAATAAAAGACTCAAAGATTTAACAAATTAGCCAGTTTAATCTCATAAAATATATGTAGACTCTTATACCGAACTCAGAGAAAACAAATTATTTGCAAGCACATATAGAGCAATGGCAACAAACGATCATATATTAGGCCATGAATTCTAAAAAATCTGTGTTTTTTCACATGGTACATAATGAGACATTAATAACTAAGTATAGCTTTAAAATGCCCGCACATTTGGAAACCCAAAAGCGCTTTCTAAATAGCCCACAAATAAAGAGAAAGTGATGGAATAGTTAGAACCAAATGACAGTCAAATTGTTGTTGTTATTGTTGTTATGTGCCATGGAGTCGGTTCCGATTCATAGTGACCCTGTACAGGGTTTCCGAGGCTGTAAATCTTAACAGGAGCAGGAAGCCTCATCTTTCTCCCACGGAACAGCTGGTAGTTTCGAACTGCTGACCCTGAGGTTAGCAGCCCAATTCATAACCACTATACTACATATTAAAATGGGAGGTGCTGCTAAAGCTATCCTTGCTAAGAGGAGCCAGTAAGCTTTGTTGATAAATACCTACACCCTACTTTAACACTAGGAGCTCTGGTAGCGTAGTGGTTACGAATCGGGCTGCGAACCTTAAGGTCAGCGGT